TCCATAAGTGGGCTGTTTGTAAATTGTAGACTCCCTGAATGAAGCTTGGTTTGCTTGTTTGTTTTCTTTTATTATTTAACAACAGTAAGTTATATCTCTTGTTAATGAACATCTGCAGACTCACATAGATACGTTTCTGAGGCTAACCGCCATTTTAATTAGGTGAACTAAAAAAATTACCATGTCAAATTTAATTCTAGGATCCAACTTGTCCAAGACTACTATCAGCAGGGATCGTAACAAGCAGAGACTCTTGCAAGATTGACATTTATTGAATTTATGAGGGATGTGTCTCTTTTAAAGAAATGAGTTCATGCAAGTACTGAACATAAAACATGAGTGTATGGCAAAGTTTAGTCCATGGATTAGACTGTCAAAATGGCACTGAATGTCACAAAGAGATTTCTGGGAATAGAAGACACAAATTGTTAACTAAGGCTAATTTAAGAAAGTTAGTAAATAAAAGTTGAAAATAGAAATAAAAGTAGGATCTCATAAGAACGAGATACTTCAAGCAATAACTCAACATTTAGAATTAGAAGGAGGGAAACCTGAACTTGAGAAATCACAGCTAGATTTAGTTAAGATTCAATTAGAAATGAAACAAAAAACTTCAGTGAGAGGAAGAAAAATGAGTTGGCTTGAATTGGAAGCTGAAGAAAACAGAAATAGAAAGAGATGAGAGTGAAAAGAAATGAGCAAAGGAAAAGAAGAAAAACAGAGAAATGAAAAAGGAAATGAAATTTAAAAAGTTGTAACTCCAAACACATAGGAAATCAAACACAAGTTTAAAGTAAATGAGGAAAGAAGAGGTAGTCACTCAGAACAGTAATTCTGTTTCTTAAAAAAAAGCCATCGCTAGTTTGTAAGAACACTCTTAGACTAGTTCCAATTCAAATTTTACCAACTGCTGTGTGGGATTTGAAACCATGACCCCAGAGCATTAGCCTGGCCTTCTGGATTAATAAACCAGTGACATGACCACCAATATCATCACCTCCCCACTATAATCTACTCCAAAACTGAGTCAGAACCAATATTCGAGTGTTCTTATTTGAAAGGCAAAAGTATTCATGAAGTAATAGAGACCACCTCAACTACTGAAGAAAGGATAAAAAGAAATGAACTGAGGAGTGAGACTAATTGGATTGCTCTTGCAGACGGTAACACTGGCAGAAGAAATTAACATCACAAGTTCTTCTCAGTTTGTAGTGGCTGTCAGGGGTGTACATAAAGTGAAAATATGCATTTGTTGTTTCATTGATCAATATCTAGACGATATTTGTTTACAGAAATGCCTATATACACAGTATATTGGCTAGCTTGTTGTAGTTATATAACTTCCACCTCAGCAGTAACAAGCTTTCACTTTTCCTCAGCTATTAAATGTATTACATGAAACATGATGTCTGAAGTGTGAACCTGAGATAGAGTGAAATTTCAAAGCTGTAAGAGAGTTAGCTACTATAAAACAAAAGCAAGAAAGAATTAAAACCATAAACTCCAAATTTGGTGTGTTAGGCTGTAAATTTTCCACCCATTGCTGCTGTGGAAATGAAAGGCAATGAGACAGTATTGGAATTCTGTTCAATTCAGTGGCAAAAGTATGAGATAGTCACAGAATTGAATAAAAGCACAGCAAATAAGCGTAGCAATCCTGTTATAAGTAATGGAGAGAGAGTGCTGCAAACTGTACTGCTGGAGAGATGTCAGCAGAAAAATCATTCTAGGCCATAGAACAGGTTGGTATCATCATGTCTAAAGGTGATAAATGATTTGAGACTGTTAGAACAATGATTACTGAAGGATAACATCAAGTGAACACAAAGTTTCAGGCAGACACCGGTGCTTCTTGCAACCGTTATGAACTTTGCAGGCTTATATGGAGTGGTTCAAGATGATGACACAAAAATGAAACCCTCCAGGGCAAGGTTCAGACTATATAATGGAATGATACTCATCCCAAGAGGACAGGTTAGACATATAACCACTGACTGCTGATCCTAGAAGATTACAAAGTTTTCTTGCAGGTCTTGAATGTCTTCATGATGAACATTATCTCAAAGTAGACAAGTGTGTGAAACCATCTCATTTGCTGACAAGAGCACCAATTGCTATCAAATACACCCTGAGACACAAGATAAAAGAAATGTCATCATCTCAGAAAGTCCTAAAAATTGGAAGAGAAGATAAGAAGGCCAAAAAAGTTGTCTGTGAAGAACTAGCAACCAACGATGAGCAGTGAAAACAGAAGCATTCATCACATTCAGCAGAAGATAAAGGCACAGAATAAGGAGGAAAAGATGCAATTGAAGATACCTTAAGTCAAGTACAGAGATAAATGTACTGACAGCAAAAGGACTTTGTCCATATCCTAACAAGGTGAAATTTGGAGCAGAGATGCAGTGACCCAGATGTAAAAGCACAGCAACATTTGTTTTGGATTTGTGAACTATCCAGTAAAGTTCTTGCCTCATTTGTCATCAGAGTGTGAACCTCTATGCAACTCACACCTGATGGTGGGTAGTGGTATTTTAGCATAGAAAAAGCAGCAACTTTCAAATCAAACAAACTAGCAACAAGAGCTCAATGTGATCTGGAAGTCATCAATCCAGCAAAGTTATTGTATGAAGGACAAGCATCTCGCTTTGATCAAGCACTCACCATGGGAAAAACACTTCCCTGGAAAGGAACATTACCCCAGAAACGAACAAATACAAACTGACAACTTGCATGTATGTCAAATGCATGTGCAGAGACAGGTGAAATGGGACTGAAAGAATTAACATACAGTTTTGTCAATGAATAACAAAATACTTGATGGATGCTATGTAATTGCAAATAATAGCCAGGTAAACATTTTTTAATGAAAAGGGGGATGTTTAGAGAAATGCATTTATATATTGCATATAGCTGCCTTGCCATAGCCATGTGAACTCTATCTCTGTTGTAACTTGCCTTCACTTCAGTTCATTGCAGTCATTAAATACATCACTTCAAATAATATTTAAGTACAATGCTCTGGTGTTCAATTTACAATAAATTCATACTAGTCAATACATACTAAACAATACACTGTCTCGTTTGCAATATGTTCCTCTGAAACAATATTTTGCAATTACTTGGAACATTGACCATGAAACTAAACCAAGCTGCTTTTTCTAGTCCAATAATATTTCAGGATATTCATCTGTGGGACAACAGCTGCTGTGGATTCAGTTAAATATCAGAAGAGTTCAGCAGCTCTGAATTAGCTCTCAGACTATTTTGAAGTTGCAGCCACCAATTAAAGGAGCAGCTCCAGGACAAACAAGGTTACTCTTGCTAGAGTAGTTTCCTGCATGGTAAAAAGGAATGCCCAACCTAGCAACATTCTGTGAAGTCAGGAAATTGGCCTTTTAATAAAATAAATCTTCGAAGTCTGAGCAAATAAAATAAAAGGACATGTGTTTTTCTTTAACACAGTTCTATAAGCTCTTCTGTTTCACATTCAGCACAATAAAGGTCAAAGAGTTCCAAGCTGCCCATACAATATATGACAAATAAACACACAGTCAATTTAAAATTTGAATTTCTTTACTCCATTTCCAGTTGGAAAATAGTCGGACTTAGAGCTCCAAGGCACAACCAAAAGGATTTTGCAAAACAATTTATTATCAGGCTATTATGGAAGAAGTGAATGAGGAACAAAAATAAAGAAAAGTAAAATGGATTCAGAACTGAGGCAGTTGTAGTAGCAATGCGCTCAGGTACTGATGCTGATGCCATTATGGTACTTTCAGAGTTCATACTTAAAGCTATTAAACAGTATATTTTTAAAAAATCATCATTTCAATAGTTGCAATTTCTCATTTAGTGAAATGCCATTTTATATTAAATGACATATAAACTTTCTCGACTTTAGGAAATTAGCTGATCAAAACTCCTGTTGAGCAACCTGGAACTGAAGTAATGACATTGGAGAGAACATCTGAATCCTTGTGCAACCAACAATAAAACAAAACAATATATTTGTCACTGGCCTATTGGTTGTAAAACTGAAATATCTGTCAAACACAGGTAATGTTTTCCACGGTATACATCAAGTAGGTAAATGGAATTTTGCTACAGTAGCCACCATACCATTTTCAGCTACCTTTGAAATCCATTCTTAAAAAAGTACTGACTGCTAGCTGCCTAATCACTTTACTTTCTAATTATATCAGTTGCATCCTTAATTAACTTTCTCCAAATTGCTAACACTGTTCATTAATTATACATTTTTTTTAAAAAATTGGTTTCTTTTTAAGTTTATAGAAGTAATGAGAGTACAGTATTCTCTCAATATTCACAAAATACTCAACAATTCCTGAATAATGTTGACCAATGTACAAAATCCCACCAGTTCTTTTTTGGTTCAAGTTGCTGGTCAATCTTTACAATGCTAAACTGTGTTCATGCACACTTCTCCCAGACAGACACTACTGTTATGATGTGGCTATAACCTCCTACTCCTTAAAATCCATCAAGATCAATAAAAGCTATTGGTTTAGAAAAAAATCTGTTGACTCATAGTACACTGTTCCCTTTTTCATTTGGGTTCCCTAGTTCTTGTATTGCAGGACCCTTTTAAGATTGCTATGAAGCTAAACATATTTTCAAGGGAATGGTGGTTGCACATCAGCCTGTTATTTGCACTGTTCTGTAAGTTCCACATTGCTGCACAGTCATGTGCATGCGCAGTCTCAAGGCAACATTGCTAGGACTTACCCTAACTGGACTCACAGATCTGATATAAAGTTTTTGCCAACCCTAACCTCATGAAAACATCTCAATTGTCAGATTATGCCTTCAAGACTTTGCAGGGCATCATAGTGTATAATTTGTAGTCTTAAAACAGGGCAGTTATACAGACTCAGACAGCAATGATAGGAACAGACACATGATACTTTTCTTGGATACCTGAACTGAGGCACTAACAGGCCCATTCGTTACCTGTGCAGATTGTATGTTGTACTCACCTGACACTGTAACCACAATGTACTGCTGTGGTGCTGTTACTGGTGACAACTGAGCAGAAGGCTGTTGTTGTTGCTGCTGTGATACCTGTAGCTCACTGACATATTGTTTTTGGGATGATGGTGGTTGTTGCTGCTGTTGTTGTTGTGATGGTTGTGCAGCAGTCTGCAAGTCCGTGACATACTGTTGTTGAGTTGGTTGTTGCTGCTGTTGCGACTGCGGCTGTTGCTGCTGCTGTTGAGGCTGTTGTTGAGCTGGTGGGAGTTCTGTAACGTAGGCCTGTGTTGCCATACCAACCCCTGCAGGTGGTACTGTTAAATGGCACTCTCCACTTTGCCCACTATGAAAACAAAATAAGAAAAATCAGTGGATTATTTACAATAATCAAAAAATGGAACTGGCTACTATCAACTAATTTTAGTTACCATCATACACTACATTTAACAATAGAAATGGCTATTTTATGCAAACCATGTCATAAATAGAATTTAAACTGGCACATGTATTTTAAACCACCTATGCACGACACATTTGGTTCAAATATGAGCAATTTAGAATAAAAACGGCAGCACTAAGTTAACAATCAACTAACACAATCTCCAATTGTCCCATTCTTTGTTCGGAAAGATTTGCTATGACTCCTTTTTAGTCATAGGAAAAATTTGTTAAACTAGCCTAGTTCTGCAGATTTGAAACTCTCATCAGCCAATTCTCCTGTTCTTTCTTTGCCAGTAGTTGGGATCTAAAAGGACAAAAATTGGAGAAGGCTTGGAAAGAAAATATTTTTTAAGAGCATGTTAACCTCTGATTTTTGCTTTATCTTCTTTGTGTTCTCCTAGCTGCACAACCTGACTGTGAAAGAGCAAGTGGATGAATTACTTCAATGACATTTCAACTACCCATCAGCAGGCTTAGAGCAGCCTAGAGATGACTTCCTATCAATTTCTCTCTGTGCCTGCAAATAATAAAACACTCAACATCTCCCACAGAAATGATGAGTCTGAAAATGATAAAGGAAGTAACTGAACCCTATGCCATATTATTCTGAGGTTGCCCCACTTTAGTGTTTCACCATATTACCCTGTAGTGAATCAATAAGCCTTTAAAAGGGTAAACAAATTCATGGATGAGATAAGGATTTGCACATCAAGCAGAAATAGTCTATAATTCAATATTCTAGCTGCAATCACACTCATCTAGCCTTGCTGCTGGTTCAAGTAAGAACATAAAAAGTACAGTTGATCTCCGCAAACATTATCCAGAGGCAACAGAAGTATAATTTCTACTTCTGTTGTACCCAAATCACGACCTTCATGTTACAATAACACAACCCAAAATAAAACTCTTCAAACAAACCGTCTGTTCAATGATTAATGTAGATATTTCACGTGTAGGTGACATGTGTATTCATAATGGAACTCATTTTGGCAAGGGCCAAGAAGTTACTTTTTGCGACTAATAATAAAATCAGCAAAATATTTAAATTGTGGCCCAACATCCAACTAGTAGACATGATTTAACTTATAGATAAACTTTATTTATCAGTGTTTTCCCTCACATATACCTTAATTTTAATCAATAACACTGCCACACACCTCCTAGCTCTACAGCTGCAGGAACAGCCTGTTGTGGACTTGTCACAGGACAACTAGAAGATGATTTCACAGGGCACCCTAGGCTCATGGCAGAACCTATACAGAAGACAGAATCCATTGATATTAACCATCCTGGCATTCTGAAGCAAGATGGAAACCTGTTACTGGATTGACAGAAATATTTTTCACTGCTATCAACACCCAAAAGAATTCAGACCAAGAATAGAGATCGAAGATGCGGTACATGCACCAACATAGAAGCCACCACTGGGAAGGGAGAACCAATGACCAGAGTTCCAGGATATGGTCAAAAGAAATTGCCTGGTTCAGAGATCCAGGATACTACAAAGAAGAAATTGACTGTTTCAACAGGAAAGATATCCTCCATGAAGGACATCCAAAAGATTAAAGATCCCCCAATCTGTTGTAACTTTCCGACCTCACACTGTCAAGAGCAGAATCAAAGAAAACAGTTTTCAAATTCAAGGTCTATGAATTTTCCAAGTTAAATTCTAGGAAAATAATGAAACCTCCAGATCATCACAAGTTGTGAAGTTAGAAGCTTGGTTGGAGATGTAGTGCTAAATGAACTAAACTACAGTACTAATATTGAGACAAATAGCTTGGGGGACATATACAAGGGACTTATACAAGAGAATGCCTTAAGCATTATGCTGTTACAATAGTGAACTGGAGTAAGATTACAAAAAAGAGTAAGACCTCCTTCCAGGATTTCCTCAGGTCCTCTGTGACAATGTCCATCATCACAGAGTAGCTCATATTTGGTTGCAAATATGCAATAAACTGCACCTTATTTAAACAAGAGCCTATCCCTCATTAGACAAGTGGTTTCTCTTTCTACCATATCACATCCAGTGGAGTCGGTAGATCACTAACCTAACACAGGACAATGACTACCAACCTATCCATGGTGAGCAAGTGCAGACACTTCCTACATCAAGGTTGTCAGTGGTTAGGATCATTCATCCAACAGACAGGAGGGTTATTCTGGTCAGGTTTAGTCAAGATGGATTGGACCAGTATTACACAAGTAGTGGGCAGGGTTAGTCAGGTGGTTGGAGGTTGTATCTAGAATGTCGAAAGAAAGTCAAGGAGGGCAGTCCAAGCGATTGGGAGGTCAGTTTTGTAGTTATCCAGGAGTTGGACTAGGATTTCTCTGTCTAGAATTTCCTGGCTAATTATTCAGTTAAGTATGTTGCAACTCTCTGAAGTCTTTGACTCATAATTCATTAAGAAGCAGAGAAATTTTCCATCAAAAGTTCAAATTTTTCAGGCAAGTCCTACAGAGATCAGCATGTCAGGACTTATGTGGAGCCCTGACTTGCATCTCAGGTCCTACATCTGGTATCCAATGTTCTGGACCATAATCAGAATCATATTACAGGACCATATAATATTTCTGTAAAGTATCTCAGGACATTTATCACAGTAAAGGCATATAAACACATGGTTTTGTTGTTATGATATTTGTCTTTGGCAGCCTGCCACAGAATGAAAGAAGTTTCTATCTGCTTAGTGTAATTGTTGATCACAGCTAACAACATTCTATTCATCAATGTAGTTCAGAGAGCAAGAACTTGGCAGATGGAATATAATGTGGAGAATTGTGTGGTTATGAAGAATAGAAGAGCTGAATATTGTTTAAATGGATAAAGACTGCAGAGTCCTCATCCATCAATCAATCTCAAAAAGCGAGCATCCATGTTCATAGGGTAATAGGGAAGACAAATGGAATGCTGACCTTTATGTCAAAGGGAATGCAGCATAAAAGTAGGGAGAGATTGCTAAAACTATACACGGCACGAGTCAGACCAAAGCTGGAATACTGTGAAAAGCCCCTTATCTAAGGAAAGATATACTGGCATTGGAGGCAGTCCAGAGAAGGTTCACTAGACTGATACCAGGTTTGGAAGGACTGTCTTATGATGAATGGTTGAGTAGATTAGAACACTGAGAGGCAACCTTGTTGAAACATACAAGAATCTTAGGGGACTTGACAGTTGTTTCCCCTGATTGGAGAATCTCAAAAGACAACACTTCACTTCTCCACATTGAACTTCATCCGCCACCTATCCACCCACAGTACCAAAGTGTCAATACCCTGTTGAAGTTCTATAGTGTTCTCCTTACTTTTGTGTCATCCAGCAACTTTAAAATTGTCCCTTGCACACCAATATCTAGATCTTTTACATTTATCAATGATTCCAATACTAACCCCTGAGGAATTCCACTACAAACCTTCTTTCAGCTTGAAAAATATTCATTAACCTTTATTCTCTGTTTCCTATCCCTCAGCCAATTTTGCATCCACATTGCTCCTGTCACTTTTATTCCATGACCTATAACTTTCCTCAAGTCTGTGTGACATTGTATATCAAATGCCTTTTGGAAGTGTATGTACACCACATCAACAGCCATCCTCTCATCAATCCTCTGTTACCTCTTTAAAAGGTCCAACAAGTTAATTAGACATGATTATCCCTTTACAAATCCATGCTGACTTTTCTGAATCAATGCAGAATTTTTTAATGTGACTTAATTCTGTCCCAAATAACTATTCTAGAAGATTCCCCACCACGAAAGTTAAACTGATAGGTCTGCAGCTGTTGGGCTGATCTTCACAATCTTTTTTGAACAAGGCCATATGTTTGCCATTCTCCAATTCTCTGTCACAACCCTGAATTCAAGGAATATTGAAAGCTAATTGTAAGCACCTCTGCAATTTCCACTCACTTCCTTCAATGTCCCGGGATGCACCTCATCCAGTCCCAGTCTTTCATCAACTTTAAGTACCAACAGCTCTTTCAATAGTCCTCCTGATCAATTTAAAACTCTTCTAGTCATCAGGTCTATCACCATGGTCTGGGCAGCATTGCCGTGTTGGTAAAGACAGATAAAAAGTATTAATTTAACATCTCAGCCATGCTTCTTGACTGGAAGTGTAAATCCCCTTTCTGCTCCCGAAACAGCCTCCCTCCTCCTCTTATCATCCTTTACTTATTGATGCACTTAAAGATGACTTTGGGGATTTCCTTTTATGTGATTTGCCAGTCTAGTTTTCATAATCTCTCTTTGCTTCTCACACTCGCTTTTTCACTTCCCTTCTGAACTGCCTGCATTCAGTTTGGTTCTCAACTATACTTACTACCTGACACTTGGAACAAGCATACATTTTCTTCTTAAACTTGGCTTATATATCTTCTGCTAACCAGAGAGCTCTAGATTTATTTGTCCTACCTTTCCTTTTTCAGGGCATACACCTTGACTGACAACCTCAGACAATCTCTTCTGTAATCATTGTTCAGTGACTGCTTTTCCTGCCAACCTTAGGTTCTAGTCTATCTGGCACAGCTTTATTCTTGCCCCATCAAAGTCCACGAGCCACCAGTTGATTATTCTTGCTGTGATTGACCAATGTCATTTTCTAACATTATCCAAAAATCTTATGGGAAAATGATTACTGTTCTCTAAATGATACCCCATTATCACTTGATCTGCTTGGCCCACTCCAATCCTGACAGCTAGGTCTAGCAGTGACTCCTTTCTTCTTGGACTGGAAATGTTGTAATGTAATTTACAGTGAACTAATTTACGGAAAGTTTGTTGATGCTAATTTAAATGTTTAAAGCCTTAGAAGTGCACTGGAAATAGGAAAACTGCCTGTACAATTTAACAGCTTCTGCATAATATCCAATTTTAATTGCTCCAACAGTAGTGACCATAC